GAGTTGTTTTCTGAAGAGATTAAATTAATTTAAGCTTCTAGGAAAAAATATGATAGCCCCTTCATAATTGTGAAACAGATTTCATATTATTGCTTAGAGGTAAATCCGTTCTCCTTCCTGGAAATGAACACAAACAGAGAAGAATAAAATTGGAAAGGTTAAGGCACCAAATGCTTTTCAATTAGCAGAGGATGTGAAAAGCAGTAAGAAGAGAAGAGATTAAATTAATTTAAGCTTCTAGGAAAAAATATGATAGCCCCTTCATAATTGTGAAACAGATTTCATATTATTGCTTAGAGGTAAATCCGTTCTCCTTCCTGGAAATGAACACAAACAGAGAAGAATAAAATTGGAAAGGTTAAGGCACCAAATGCTTTTCAATTAGCAGAGGATGTGAAAAGCAGTAAGAAGAGCTTTTGCATATATGCTATGTTCCTTTTTCATTCTTTTTCTTCCAGCATGTCCGTTACTTAACCGAAATTAAGAACAAGCCACAAAACATACAGAGAAACTACTAGTAGTGGCAACTTTGTGCATTGGTTTTCATGAAGATGGTTAATTTGAGTAGATACTTAAGAAAACCATTTTAATAAGCAGACAGTTGCACAGGCAAGAGAAGACTGAAGAAGACAATCCAAGGTAGAGATCTCTGGTGACACTCAGAAATGTTTGCAAGCTTGCACTTTTGCCAAGCACTTAGTAGAAAATGATCAAAATTCAGAAAGATCTTGGAAAAGACCATCTTAGAAAGATGCCGTCAACAAAATGATGTTCAGTTCAGAGGACTTCAGCAGATTTTAAAAAAGAAAGACAAGCTATTTTTCCGGATGTGTCTTGCCTGCAGAGCACCTGCTAACAAAGGGAGATGAGAGTGTTATTTCATTGTTCCTGTCAAAGGGCCCCAGTGGGATCTCTGTGTTTAATAAGTACCTCACTAGGAAAAAATCTGCACTGACTGAATAGTGTCCAGAGAGCAGTTGTTTACCGTAAGGTCAAGGGTGAGAGCAGAGAGGAACACCTTACCTCAGGAGCTTGGATTTTGAGGGTGAAACACTAGAGGAGGTTACATACAAGGATTTTGGAATCTGCTTTCTTGGCTGTTTTCAGGATTAGGACAGTCAGGCATTTGTTTCATTGAAGAATGTTTAGACCTTGCCTCAGTGTTTGTATGGATTAGATAGTCTCTTGACATCTCTTCTGTTCTGTTTCCGTGCTTATTTGAAACAACTGCAGCTGTTTTTCTGCTTGAATAATTTCACAAAAAATAACCCAGATGAAATTGTGTCAAGTTAATGCTATGTGGCAGTGCTTGTGTTTCCAAAACAAGCAAACAAACAAAAAAATATAACCCCCGGAGCAAGTGACAGCTGGAATGTGGGAAACCAAGATCTGAGATGTAAAAATCTGGATACGAAGGGTTTTCTTTTCCCAAAGTGAAGCAAAGGCCCCAGCTTGATCTGTTAGTCATAAAATTGTCACTTTGCAACTATGAAGTGCTAATAGTCTCACATGTTAAGAGCATTTCCACGTAAAATGCTCATGTATGTATTTTCAGAAATGATCTGATAACACCTCTAAAGCTTCCTAAATTCTGCAGATGGCCAGTTTCAGTAAATAATGGGGCATGTACTTTCAATCTGTTTATCAATGTAACTTACCTGTGTAAGCGAAGGGATTTTCAAACTTTGAGGCTGTAAGGCAAGTTAAAGAAAGGAGGAGGCTTAGCAGGCACCCTGTTCCTCATATTTCAGCTTCCACACTGCGAGTGCTAAATCCCTTAACCTCAGTAAGATCTTCCCCATTAGGCTTCGGTACTGCACTGTGTATCTCCTTGTTTTTCTGTTTAGAAATTGACTCACCTAGGTGTTTCCTGTTCACTTGCATGTGAAAAGTAAAAACTAAGAGGGATGATACAGGCGTTTTCACTTGTGTCAGAAGTGTGTCACGCACTCTCACATGAGAGAGGATGGGTGCTACAGGGGCTGGGCTTGGAAAGTCCCTCTCCACTGTGCAGTTGGTAACAGCTTTCTTTTGTTATTAAATTTTTTTTACGCATATGATATATTTTTTGAACAATGTTTTTTCTTAACGCTTTTCTATATACTCATTGCCACTTGGAAAAACCATTTTAAGTAGTAAAGGAGTGTCTCTAAGAACAGATTTTTTTTTGTTTTGTTAACTGGCTGGCCAGAAAGCTACAGGTCATGCTTTGTATTCTGCTATTTTGATTTCTTTCCTTCGTGGTAGCTAGGACATGTCTACTAGGCTTTTACGTGAAGCTCTGGATGAGAAAGTGCAGTCAGTGCCAAACCTCAGTGTAGGAGCTCAGTCTTCTCTGTCCTTGGAAAGGAAAGGTGTGAGTGTCTCCCTTCTCTGTGAAACCCAACAGCCTGCAGCTTTTCAATGGAGCTCAGAATGGAGGTTCTCAGGAGCAGGAATAAAGATACTTTGCTATCAGCACTTCGGAGTGGTTATAGATGCTAATTCTACTGCCTTTAAAAAGCTTTTTTCTCGATGTGTGATTTTTTTAAGACCCTTCTGAGTCTCCTTGGTTGTACTTGTATGATGTAACCAGCCCCCCTCCATCCAGTGTGCCAAGCTGCCAGCAATCTCTGCAGGAAATTATGTTGGCACTGGTGAGCAGATGGCACCACAAGGAAGTTGAGGGATGCTTGAGTTGGCAAGGGCCAGAGCAGTGGTGTTCATCCAGCTGCCTTATGGTCGCCTCATGGAGGTTAAGATCTTCCAGCACTAACTGTATTTTGTTGTTCAGTTACTGTGAAAAGTGAATTCTGAATAGGCAACTTAAGCATTAAAAGATTCTATCTGATTTTATGTCAAATGAATGCCAAATGCTTTTCCTTGAGTAACAGTTGTTCATTTTGCAGGTGCCTGTTTCATCTTAAAGTTATTTGGAGGAAAAGCAGTGGCTAAAAACTCTAGTTTCAAATTTTTTTACATTCTTTTTCTTCTTGTTTAGGTGTTTCACTTGCTGCAGTCGTACTTAGAATCAAACCAGTTCATTAGTTCAGACTTTCAGCGGGAACTGGGTGACATCATTACCTGTATGGGAACCAAACTGTGGCTTGCTGAAAGGTAAGATAAAACACAAGATATCTGTGATTTATACACATAGTTTACTAACATGTGGAAGGCTTGGCTGATTTTTTGGACAGATTTATTTCTCTAGAAATATGTTAAAGTTAGATGCCTCACTGGCTTGCTGATTATTAATCAAGATGGGGTTTTGTTTCCAAAAAGGAAGGATGAAAAAACATTCTAGTCAAGTCATTAAGGAAAAAAACAAACCTGTGAATGAAAATGCCTGCAGAAGCAGCCATTTTGAGGATAATTGTTGCTTCTTGGCTAAGAAAACTATGCCACATATACAAGGTTTTTATGTTACTGTTTTTCTGACTTTGACCTTTACAAAAAATTAGTAGAAAAATGTCATAGCAATTGTTTAAACTATCAGAAGTATTTAGCTACCCACAAGCAACCCAAGATAGTTTTGGAAACATTTTTCTGAAGTTCATCTTCAGATGACCTACATACAACTTTCTTTTCTTTCTTTCTTTCTTTCTTTTTTTTTTTTTTTTTTTTTTTTCTAATCTAATTGGTCTCCCCCTAAAACTTTAAGGGAATCAGCTGTGGGCAAAGAGCACAAGTCCTTGCATAGATAAATAACTGGTGTAATCCACATTTTGCACCGTGGAGTGAGGTCACCAGTGCAGTCTAGTGTGCATCTGTCATAAAATCTGTGTCCCTTTGTTACCATCAAAACCAAAATCATAAGCAGTTTTGAGAAGATTGGTGTCTAGTGGGTTCAGGAAGTCTTCTGTCAGTGTTAACTGCATTGGGGTAATCAAGACAGAGTTGATCTTTGAGAATTACAGAAACATCTCCTGAAAGAGTGAGAGTGATGATATAGCAAATAAAACTTGGTGTAAATAATTATGAAATGATGCATGTGAACAAAGCAGTCTGGACTTTAATTGTGAAAGAGTAGTTGACGAAGCAGACTTTTTGTTCCAAAAAAATCACCCAGGTTCTTTGTAAAGCCGAAGAGGGGAGGGGGAAAATATCATAATAAGAATGCAGAATGAAACAGAAAACACACCTGTGTTTGTGTATTAATTTCTGTTGTATATTTGAATATTGTGTAAATCCCAAAGGAGACAGAGTAGAAATGAGAAGCAGCATAAAGACTGACAACAAGTATTGAACAGTTTCAACATGGGGAATGAACAACTAAGCTGAGATATTTTTTATTCTAGAGGAGGGACAACTGAGGAATGACATGAAAAAACCCCTATTCTGTGAGTCACATGGAAAGGGAACAGGAAATTGTCATCCCTTCCAAGGTGGCAGATGTAAAAGAAACAAAATAATGCAGTTCTTCATGTAATTTTTGTTTAACTATGGAACTCCATGATAGAAGATACTCTTGGTTTTAAACCTGTCTGACTTTTTAACCAGTGATTTGACAGAGTCATGGAAGAAAAGTCCAGTGAGGTTGCTGAGTATAGACATTGCTGTTGGCTCAAGAAATTATTCAGCAGCCTTGAAGGCTTAGACAAAGGTTTTGGCAAGTGTCACTGTTTTTATGCCTCCCTTTCCTGTGCATCTACTCTCTGCCCCAAGTGGAGACATCATGGTGGATTTTTGATTTGACTCAGTATAAGCATTTTTAAGTCTTTGGTAATTTACAGAACTAAATTAAATCCATTACTACTATTGTAAAGAAAAAAAGGCCAAATACTGGAGACGAAGTTCAGTGGAAAGATACTCATGCTAAATAATTCTAACATTTTTCTCTTGCAGCATATATGTAAGGGATCGACTCTGTTCATTACAGATTCTAAATAAATTCTGTATTTTGAAAGTACTTTTTCACAACTGGCTTATTTGATGCATCAGTTACATTAGTACTTCATCAGTCTTGCTAAGCCTGTAGAGCCATTTGTCGTTAGGCACACTTTTAGCTAAGGTGTGTTTCTTTCTTCTTCTTTTCTCCCCTCGCTCTCCCCTCTCTCTCCCCTCTCTCTCTTTCTCTTTCTCTCTTTCTCTCTCTTTTTCTTTCTCTCTCTTCTCTCTCTCTTTCTCTTTCTCTCTTTCTCTCTCTTTTTCTTTCTCTCTCTCTTTTGCTTTCTCTTACTTTCTCTCTCTTTTTTTCTTTCTCTGTCCATCTCTATCTTAATGTTTATCTCTTTTTCTTTCTTTCTCTTCTTTCTGTTTATCTCTTTTTCTTTCTTTCTCTTTCTCTCTTTCTTTCTCTCTTTCTCTTTTTCTCTCTCTTCCTCACTTTCTCCCTTTGTCTTTCTTTCTCTCTTTCTTAAGCTAAAAAAGGCAAAATATCCATGGTTTGGTAGCCAAACTTGCTTCCACATAAGTTTTTAACTCAATAAATTTGCTTATCTCTTCACTTTCTGCTTGAGATAAATGTAGTCAGTGTGGTGTAATTTCAAAACCAAACAAAACAAAAACCCCAACAAGCAACCAAAGCAAACAAAGCTAGTGAATTAGATGGTATTTTCTGCTAGTTTTAATCTCCCACATTCAGCGTGGAGCTTTACTGTTTATAGTTGACTGGGTGGAGGAGAACAACTGTTCTGTGATGAATGGTGCAGTTTGAGGGTTTTGTTGTTGCTTTCTCTGTTTCTTGTTTTAGAGGAGTTTTAGAAGGTTGCTTGGTAACTGAGTTGTGAAGCTCAGTAAGTCCATGTGTGTCAGTTGCTGGATGTTGGGAGAGCATATCAGGAAACTAGCACTTCATTCTTGCCCTGTTCTTAGACTTCTTGGTAGGCATCTGCTGCTGGTCACTGTCAGAGAAGGTGATGGCTGGTTGGACCCTCGGTCCGTGCACTGTTAATCTTAAACTCTTTCTGGTCAGGCAAAGAGATTGAGTACCACAGAGAAAAATAAATGAATCTCCATCTGGTTTTTATAAGGAGATAATTTAGTGTGTCATTGATACTCTAGTGCAGTGACTGTTTGAAAAGAGGTATTAGAGGCACTCACGGTTAATCTTAAATGGGTTACAAAAAAAGTCAAAATAACAGGAAAGTGGTTTGTAAATCTGGGGAAATGGGGAATTATATCCAAACATGAGTTTTCAATCACCTTTCTGTGCTAGTGTTGCAAAGCTCTTGCTGGTGTTCTTTCAGCTACGTACTTCCTTTGTACTATGGAACAAACTTCTCTGAGAAACTTGAATTACAAAATTTTGGATTGCATATCTAGCTCTTAAAAATGAGACTCAGTTGTCATGTCTGTGTATCTGGAGGAAAGATTATTGTTCTTCAGCAGTTTCCTGAACTGGGTGGGGGTTTTGTTTGGGTTTTGGGGTTTTTTTGGCTGTTCAGAGCCGGAATGTAATTTTGTTTCATCAGAATGTGTTGGGGTAGAATAGCTCAAGAAGCTATTGCATATTCCCTCTTCTTTCTTCTCGGCTCCACGACCTGATTTTCCTTTAAAGAATAAAATAATGGATCACATTCCCCAAACTGTATTTCATAAAACATTCAGTTTTTCAGCTGGAGTTTTCTGTCTGTTGTGAATGTAGTTTCTCATGTTCATAAGACATCTTCAAAACACTAGGTTTTTTGAGTATTCAAAAATAGTATTTCCATTTTTGCTGCTTTGGTGAATGAGACCTGCCTTCCATCCACTTCTCAAGGTGATGTTTGAATCTTTTCACTTTACTTGCAGGTTTATACATCATTTGGTGTCTTTTATTTTGTCTTGGAATATACGTTTTTGCTAGTCTATAGTGGTTTAGTGATGTTATTGCTTTCCTCCACTCTCACATCAGTGTTGGTTTAATGCATTTTTTGCATGTATAGGAGGTGCAGAGTGTTTGAGAAGAACAGAAACGTAAAAAAAAATAAATACATAAAATCTGATTTGTTGGAGAACTGAGGTGATGGAATGAAGTGATGGAAATTAGTTTTGGTGAAAGCTTAAAAAAATAATCAATTTATCAAGCTAAGCCTTTGAAAGAGTTCAAAGCTCTGTCATATGAATTTAAAAAAAAATTAGGTTTTTAGCTCAGCTGCATTCCAGGGAGTTACAAGACTAACTCTAGATGCCTACTGCTTCATAAGTACAGAAAGCTAAAAGAGCAGCCTTTGGCACTGGTAATTTGTTGTACAGAAGTCCCAGAAATATCTGTCTTGTTTCATTTGTAGCCTTTGGCATGGCAAAGTATTGGTATTGGAAAATTTGTGAAATGCTGTCATTGCGCAGCTTTGCTGTAGGATGCTGCCTTCCTTCCAGTGCTTTGAGTTTGATTTTTTTTTTCCGCATTCCTTCTTACTGGAGACCACAGGAGGGGGAAAAGACTTTGAGGTTCTGCCAGAAGTCAAATAACATACTCTGCTAACCTCTAGCCATGTGCCATTTCTTAGCTGAGAGCTTGTCTGCACTGGGAAAGTTTACTTCTAAGAAGGCTGCTTTCTTGAAACCAACTTGTGTGGAACAGCCTTGTATAAATCCACCTGGCTTTGCATTTTGCAAAGACTCACTAGTTTGTCTGGAATGGACTGCCTGCAGTGTGTGCACTTAGGTTTATAACACAAATAACCTATGCTCTGCAGTGCTGCTGCTTAGCTCTCTGCTCTAGGGATGGGGCTGTTAAAAATACAAATAGGTCCTGGTGTAGGAGCACAAGACTCAAGCTCACACAAGTACATGCAAAAGTTATTTCAGGCGCAGCCTCAAAACCAGATTTGCTGTCTCCTGAGATACATGCTGCTCAGTTTTCTCCAGGCTGACTCTAGGATGATCCAGCTATAACTTCAGTGTCTTGAATGAGGGAAATCAGCAGGACTTGAGAACCCTACAGAGTAGGGTAACGTGCCAAGTTGATGGTCATGGCACTCCATCGAGCCTTTAATATCGCTTTTCCCCTCTGCTTCTGCAAGGCCTATGTCAGTGATAACAGGCAGATGGCCAGTCTTAGGTTCTTCCTAGAAGGAACTTCAGGCGAGGTGCATTTAGGCCAAGTGTGTGGAAAGCAGAAATGTGGCCTTGTTGTGGTTTCAGGACTTCATGGCTCAGAGTGTAACCTAAATACGCCTTTCTTTTCATTGCCT